AAGTATTTTACAAGGGACAAAAACAATGTTTTATAATGATAAAGAGGTCAGTTCATTAAAAGAGCATGACCTAATGTTTATGTACTTCTGAAAACAGCTTCTCAGACTCAGATAAAACAGTTAATAGCAGTTACCAGTGAAGGGGGAGGGTCAATGTAGGGGTGGAGGAGTGGGAGGTACAAAGTAAGCTCAAGAATGTATTGTCAACATGAGGAATACAGCCAATGTTTTGTAATAACTGTAAATGGAAAGTAACCTTTAAAAATTGTGTAACAATTAAAAAATTATTTTAAAAAGAGCTTCAAAAATATGTGAAACTAAAACCAAATATAAAAATCCACAATTATTTTATCATCTCTCTTTCAGTAATTGATAGAACATTTGAAAAGTCAGTAAGGACATAGAAAATTGAACAATAACAGTAAATAATTTGACCTAATTGATATTTATAGATACTCCACCCAAATGGAGTATTGTTTCCAAGTGCCCACTAGACATTTACAAGATAGACCACATTCTGGACAGTAAAACAAGTCTCAGTAAGTTTAAAACAATGCCAATCAAACAAAGTATGTTCTCTGATCAAAATGATTTAAATTAGAAATATAAAACAGAGGGACTCCCCTGGTGGTACAGTGGTTAAGAATCTGCCTTACAGTGTGGGGGACATGGGTTCAATCCCTGGTCCAGGAAGATCCCACATGCCCCGGAATGACTAAGCGCATACACCAGAGCTGCTGAGCCCACGTGCCGCAGCTACTGAAGCCTGTGCGCCTAGAGCCTGTGCTCCACAAGGAGAGAAGCCACTGCAAAGAGAAGCCCTTGTGCCCCAGCTGGAAATAGCCTGCATGCAGCAACAAAGACCCAGCACAGCCAAAATAAATAAACATTAAGATGTATTAAAAAAAAATAAAACAGATATCTGGAAAGTCCCCTAAATATCAGGAAACAGAGGCACATACTTCAAAACCACCCACAGACCAAAGATGAAAAGTGAAAATATGAAGTATTAATATATTGAACTGAGTGAAACACATCCAGATTTGTGGGAGGCCCTTAAAGCATTGCTTGGAGAGAAATTTGCACACCAAATACCTATATCATAAAGAAAAAAAGATTTCAAAGACCTCAGCTTTTGCCTTAAGATATTGGAAAGAAGAGAAAATTAAGCCCAAAGTAAGAAACAAGGGAGTTAAAAAGATCATAGCAGAAATCAGTGAAGTAGGAAACAGAAAAACAATAGAGAAACTCAGTGCACCAAAAAAGTTTTTTTTGTGTGAAGATGAATAAAATTGATAAACTGAAGTCATACATTATCAAGGAAAAAAAAAAGAACACCCAACTACCAACATAAAAAATGAAAGAACTTCCCTGGTGGTCCAGTGGTCAAGGCTCCATGCTCCCAATGCAGGGGGCATGGGTTTGATCCCTGGTGGGGAGATCCCACATGCCTGCATGCCCCTTGGCATGGCCAAAAAAAAAGACAATAAATGCAAGAATGGACGTAACCACAGATGTTAACATATATGGAAAAGGATGAAGGAATATTATGAATAAAATTTTGCTCATGAATTAAAAAAAAATGCTTATGTATTTGGCTGCATCAGGTCTTAGTTGCTGCACTTGAGACCTTCCTTGTGGCCCACGGGCTTTCTAGTTGTAGTGTGCAGGCTTGGAGCACATAGGCTCAGTAGTTTGGGCATACTGGCTTAGTTGCCCTGCAGCACCTGGGATCTTAGTTTGCTGACCAGGGATCGAACCGGTGTCCTCTGAATTGCATGGCAGATTCTTAACCACTGGACCACCAGGAAAGTCCTGAATCTTGCCCCTAAATTTGACAATACAGATGAAATGGACAATTTCCTTGGAAGTCACAAACTACTAGAGCTCAGGTAAGAGGAAATAGGTAGCCTGAAAAACCCTGAATATATTTAAGAACTTGAATTTTGAAAACCCCTTTCCAAAGAAAACTCTGGTCTCTGGTGGCTTTACTGCTGAACTCTACCATACATTTAATTTTTTAAAATGGCACTTCTACAAACTCAGAAAATCAGTGAAGGGAGTATTTCCCAACTAGTTCTGAGGCCAGAATTGCACTCATATCAAAATAAAGGAGTTACAAGAAAATTACAGATCAATAGTTCCTGAGAACAGAGATGCAAAATTATTTTTAAAATTTAGTAAATAGAAACAAATGATACATTTAAAAATGTATCAGCATTAAGTAGGATCTGTTCCAGAATGTTAACTCAATGTAATTTACATACTGAAAGTTTAAAAAAGGAAAAAAAATATGATCATCTCAGTAGATGCAGAAAAAGCATTTGACAAAATTTAACACCCATTTGTTTTTATTTTCTATTTTGGCTATGACACATGGCTTGCAGAATCCTGGCTCCCTGACCAGGGATTGAACCCGAGCCCACAGCAGTGAAAGCATTGAGTCCTAACTACTGGACTGCCAGGGAATTTCCTAAACATCCACTTCTGGCAGGAAAAAAGAAAAAAAAGAAAAACTCTTAGCAAACTAGAAACAGAAAGGAAATTTCTAAACTTCATAAAGGGCATCCATGAAAAACCTACAGCTAACATTAATATGAAAATCTGAATGCTTCTCCCTGAGATCAAGGCAAAGATGTCTACTATCATTACTTCTTTCCAACACTGGAGGGTCTAGGTAGTGCAATAAGGCAAGAAAAAGAAATAAAAGGCATTAACATTGGAAAGGAAGAAATAAAATTATCTATTTGCTGATGACATGACCATCTCTGTAGAAAATCCTTTGGAGTCTTCAAAAGTAAGCAACTCCTAGAAATAATTAGTACATTTAACAAGGTTTAAAGATACAAGGATAATACTCAAAAATCAGTTGGTTGGGACTTCCCTGGTGGTCCACTGGTTAAGAATCTACCTGCCAAGGCAGGGGACACAGATGTGATCTCTCGTCGGGGAGTTTAGATTCCCACACCTGGGGGGCCACCTAAGCCCCTGTGCCACAACTGCTGAGCCTGCACGCCATAGAGCCTGTGCTCCACAGGGAGAAGCCACTGCAGTGAGAAGCCCATGCACCACAGCTAGAGAGGAGCCCCTGCTCACTGAAACGAGAGAAAGCCCATGCTCAGCAATGAAGACCCAGGGCAGCCAAAAAAAAAAAAAAGTTGACTTCACTATATTAGCAATTAACAATCATTAAAAATTAATGATTAAAATATCATTAAAAATATTAAAAATATCATTAAAAATATCATTAAAAACATATGAAATACTTAGGGGAGATTCTGACAAAATGTGCAAATCCTGTGCACTAAAAACTACAAAATGTTACTGCAATAAAATAGAGAAGACCTCAATAAATGGAGAGATATAGTATATCAATGGATGGGAAGACTTAATTGTTAAGATGTCAGTTTTATCCATATTGGTCTACAGCTATAATGTGTAATTCCAATCAAAATCCCAACAGACTTTTCTTTTTTTAAAAGAAATTTAGAAGCCAATTCTAAAGTTTATAATGAAAATTCAAAGGACTTCAAATAGGCAAAATGACTGAAAAAGAAGAAGGTTGAATGGCTTACACTACCTGTTTTCAAGACATTATAAAGCTACAGTAATCAGGAAAGTGTGGTGCTGGTGTAAAGAAAGCAGTGAAAGCATCAAACCCTAACCATTAGACTACCAAGGAACTCCCTAAATGTCCATTTCATAGCTGTGGAAGCTGAAGCTCATGAAGTTAAAAGATTTGGCTATGGTCTGTGTAGGAGGTTCTTCTCCTGGGTCCTCTGAAGGAAAGGAGGCCAGCTATGTGCTCTCTGAAAACGTGCTGGAGATTGCCAGGATTAGAAGGATTAAAGGGCTGTAGAAATTTGATCCGAAGGAGGAGAGGTAGAAGGAGGAGTGATTTGAGTTTGGGGCAGATTGGGGTGGCATAGAAAAGATGAGGAGGATATCACTCAGCCCCTCCCATCACAAAGTCCTGCCTTTGCAGGCACACTCTTCAATCATGCCTGTCAAAAGTGGGTGGTCAACATGTTGTTCAGTTGCTAAGTCATGTGTGACTCTTTCTTACCCCACAGACTGCAGCGCTCCAGGCTTCCCTGTCCTTCACTGTCTCCTGGAGTTTGCTCAAACTCATGTCCATTGAGTTGGTGATGCCATCCAACCATCTCGTCCTCTGTTACCTCCTTCTTCTGCCCTCAGTTTTTCCCAGGATCAGGGTCTTTTCCAATGAGTTGGCTCCTCACATCAGGTGACCAAGGTATTGGAGCTTCAGCTTTAGCATCAGTCCATCCAGTGAATATTCAGGGTTGATTTCCTTTAGAATTGACTGGTTTGGTCACCATGTACGCAATGCTATGTTTAAGATGGATAACCAACGAGGACCACTTACATAGCACAGAGAAATCTGCTCAATGCCATACAGCAACCTTAAAATGGAGGGGAGTTGGATACATGTACATGTGTAGCTGAGTTGCTTTGTTGTTCACCTGAAACTATCACAAAAGGCTATACTCCAGTATAAAATAAAAGTTTTTTAAAAAATAAGTCTTCACACAGAGAACAGACTTGTGGTTGCCAAGGAGGTGGGTGGATTGGGGAGGGATGGACTGGGGGTTTGGGAATAGTAGATGTGAACTATTATATATAGAATGAACAAACAACAAGGCACTACTATATAACACAGGGAACTATACTCAATGTCCTGGGATAAAGCCTAGTGGAAAAGAATATAATTTGAGTTTTGGACGCACACACACACACACACACACACACACAAAGAAGTCACTTTGTTGTACAGCAAAAATGAACACAACATTGTAAATCAACTTATACTTCAATTGTAAAAAGTTTTTAAAAGTGGGTCTTCAAGGGACTTCCTCGGTGGTCCAGTGGTTAAGACTCTGTACTTCCAATGCAAGGAGTGTTGGTTGGATCCCTGGTCGGGGAACGAAGAATCCACATGCTGTGTGGTGTGGCCAAAAAAAGGGTCTTAAACGAATGAATGAATGAATAAAAAGTGATACATACAGTTTATTATTGTATTGGAAAGAGTACAAAGAAACAAATCCTTCTCAGACCTTGATAACCTCAGCTTGCTTTAAGTCAAGCCACATTCACCAGATCTGTAAGATCCTTCGTGTCTCTGCCAGTCAACAGCCATGGAGTGAGAGGGGGCCCTGTGCCCAGTCCACAGGGATGGGGGCTCAAGAGTCATCACCATTCTGAGTCTATGCTCACAGGTCCACAGATCTCAGTCCCTGGAGTTCCCTGGTGGGGTCAGGCATGGCAGGCCCCCTTGACTCAGAGCTCGATCTGAGAATGCAGAGAGGAGTCCTGGTCCCAGACTTTGCAGGCAGAGAAGAACTTGGTGGTGTCATCTGCGCGGTGACAGTACCCTGGCATTTAGGTATGGCAGGACCAAGATCGAGGTGTCACCAGCCCCCAGAAGGTTGTCTGTGCCAGAGAAAAGTGAGTTGTGAACAAGATCCCTCCCAGGGCTTACCCTATGCATCTAAGACACGGGAACCCAGGGAACAGGCCCTGGCCCCTGACCGTGGCTGTTGAACGGGGCAACCATAGGGGCTGGCTGTCGGGGAGAGGAGGCGTGTCCTGGGTGAGGAGCTGAGCGGGCGGGGTGGGGGCGGGTCATGGCCGCTTACCTGGGGCTGGGGGCAGTGGCGCCGTGCATACCACTCCTGGCAGTACAGGCTGACTTGGATGCCCTGGCCCAGGAAGAGCAAGGTCCACATGAGCACGTTCCACGCTGGGCCCGTGCGCCGGTCATGCATTGTGAAGTTCAGTGGCCCTGATGCAGGAGGAAAGGTAGTCACCTCAGCTCCAGACACCTGTAATGTATCTTCCTGGCTGCCTTCTTATCTCAGGGCACAGGGGAGAGTTGGAACAGGAAGACTGAGAAAGATCTTGAGCCCAACTCCAGGCACCCACGGAGGTCTCAGGCATTCTTCAGGATTCTTCAGTTTACGCTTCGCTATCCTGGCTGCCTTACTGAACCTCCCAACTCACAGCAGTTTTCTCCCCTTTGTCTCCCTCTTGTGTGCCCTGCTCAGATGCTGCTCTCCAGCCAGAAGTGTTTTCCCACTGCACCCCCCCTCCAGGATACCTCTGTGCTGACTCCGGATGCTACCTCCTTCCCAGCTTCCAAGTCCCCTGCCCCGCCCCCAGCTCTCACACACAGCACCATGCCTTCCCCCAGGAGGCATGCACACCCCGCTTCTGTCTTGGGTACGTGGCCTCTCCCATCAGTCTGGAATCTCCAGGACTCTTCCCTCGGGATGTCTTCCTTTACGGGGGCATACAGAGGCCCAGCTCACCTCCAAAGACAAGGAAGAGCAACAGCATGACGGGGTAGAAGAATCCCAGGACGAAGCAGAAGATGTACTCATGGACCACTGCTGAGACCAGGAACACGCCCAGCATGGCCGCGCCTCGGGCCCGGCCACCAAGGAGCTGCCAGGGGTCGGGGGAGGAGGGTAGAGTGAGTCTCCCTAAGCCCCTCCGCAAAGAGCCCCCCTCTTTAAGGAAGCCAGAGGGTATGTAGTACGATGGAAAGAATATGGGGCTTGGGATCAGAAAAGCTGACATGTCTTACTTAAAAGCATTGTATTAGTCTATTGGGCCTTAGAGGCCGCTTTCAAAAGGGGGATATAATCATACTTACTTCTCAGGCTTACAGTGCAGATTATACAGTGTGGGAAAATTCTTGGTAACTGAAAATTGCTATATGCATATTCCTTAGAAGGCTGAGGAGAGGAGACATACCCTGTGGAGGACGTGTAGTTGAGGACAAGAAAGGAAGGAAGTCAGATCATAAGAAGGACTTTCTTTCTGCCCTCTGGGTTGGGTAGAATGAGGGAGGTGAAAGTCAAAGGGGCCCTTAGGTCTAGAAAAAATGGAATGTGCAGAGAAAGGGAAAGAGAGGGTGTCCCAGAGAGGTTCTGTTAACCGTGGGAGCTGAGCCCGTACCCAAAGCCCATCTTGATACACGTAGCTGTAGAGCCAGTCATGGACCACCACGTTCCATGTGCGGTAGTAGTTGGAGAAGGATGTTGAGTTCCACCAGTCCTGGGGGAGGGGTGGGATGGGGTCAGGGCGGGGGAGGAGGTGAGCATCAGGGCCCTATCTCTGCCCAGTTCCCAGCTGCGTCTCCCTGCTCCCCACTTCCTGTCCTTGTTCTCTGCAAGGGTGGCTCCCAGCAGAAGAGAGCCAGCAAGCATTGGCCTAACTCCCTCCTCAGGCCCTGGGGCCCTTCCTGTCTACTCTCAGAAGATTTCAAAGTACCAGCCCCGCAAAAGCATTGAGCCCTGGCTGGTCAGGAGGTGGACGGGTGACATTATAAGCATACCCAGAGGAGCACATTTCTCACTGTGGGAGGCTGACAGCACAGCTGAGGTTGAAATCATGCCCCTTGGGGTTAACAGAAACTGGTGCCTAACAGAAATTCTTGAGCTTGTCTTACAGAAGAGCAGGGAAGGGAACAGTTTGTTAAAAATCCTTCTGCTGTAACCTGCCTTCACTGACAAAGCCTTAGTTTTTTGTTTTTTTTTTTGACTCCTTAACCATCCCGTACAGATAACACCTCTGATGTATGGGTCACTATAGCAACAGGAGGCATAAATTTTCCAGGAACTTGAAGTTGGCTCCTGTCTAGTTCAAGTGGGCTAAAACTGGCTAGGACCACTGATCCTAAAACTGGGCCTGTAAAGCTGTTGGATGAATGACTTTTTGACATCAGAGAGCCCAAAAGTCCACCCTCAGTTTATGCCAAGTTTATGCCATTCTTTAACATGCATCCCATGAAGAAACATGTAACTCAGACACGCTTGTGCAGAACACTGATTACCTCACCTTTCCTCTACCTCCAATCACCTTTTCCAAGCCTAAGATCTCCTTGCTTCTTTATCCTATAAATATCTCAAGCCCTTGGCCTTTGGAGAAGCAAATCTGAGATTGTTTTCACTTCTCCTTACTTGGCTGCCTTGTTGAAGAAACCATTTCTCTGCTGTAAATCTCTGTATCTCAGTGTTTGACTTAGTGAGAATTGGGCAAATGCACCTGGTTCAGTATCAAGGTGACAACCAACATAGCCATCATCCTCCCCTACGTCCTTCCCTAGCTCTCCCTGCATCCAGCTCCCAGGTAGCCCAGGTCCAGGCCCCACCCGATAGAACATTCTGTCTCCAAATCGTAGCATCTCCGCGAAGGCGTTGAGCCAACAGTGAAGGAAGGCAAAGAAGATGAGCAGCAGCATAAAAATGCCTGGGAAGTGAAGACAAGGGACTGCAAGTCAGACTGGTCCCCCTGGTCCCCCATGAACCTCTAGGGTCCTCCCAGGAAGCCCTCACCCAGCAACCTACCAATCACTTATTAATCATTCACTAATTTATGCATTCATTCATTCAATCCATTTGCTCATGAAGCCCATGCCTGATGTTGGAACATAGACATGAATGTTAAAACCTCTGCCTGTTGGGAGAGGTTGGGGACAGGACGGCAATCTGAAGTGCTGCTGCTGTTTAGTCGCTAAGTTGTGTTCAACTCTTTGGACCGCATGGACTGTAGCCCACCGGGCTCCTCTATCCATGGAATTCTCCAGGCAAGAATACCGGAGTAGGTTGCTATTTCCTTCTCCAGGGGATCTTTTGGACCCAGGGATCGAACCTGTGTCTGCTGCACTGGCAGGCAGATTCTTTACCACTGAGCCACCAGGGACGCCCCAATCTGAAGTGAGACTCTGACAATGAGCAACCAGAGGAGAGGGCAGATGTCAGAGGGAAGGTGTTGCAACTAGGAGTGAGAGGAGGGAGGAGTTCCCTGCTAATCCTTCTCCACGGTGCAGCCTTCCGCAGCTCTGCCTCCGATGGGGATACCTGGCAAGGTGGCATGCATGATGGATAGCACCAGGGCACGCGTGCTGAAGGGCTCCTGGCTCATGTTGGCAAAGACAGGAACACAGAGGCGGCCCAGGATGAAACAGGCGTAGAGCACGCAGCCCAGGGCCTGGAGAGGGGCGGAGGACACATAACTTTGAGAGGAGTCACTGGCAACTGCCCCCTTCCTCTGGAGTTGGACTCTGGCCCAGCATCTGCCTTCCCTTCTCTTTGCACAACCCTCTGACCTCTTCCTGGGCCTCCCCTATTTCGCTCCCAGAAATGCTCCCTCAGCCACCATGAGTCACAGGTAGTCCACGCTTCGACTCCGTCTGCTGACCTGGGCAAAGTTCTTGGCCACATAATTCCACCTGACGTTGGGTGTCCTGTTGCAGCAATGGAATGGAGACAGTATGTTTCTCATCTATTTGTCTTGTTCCTGCCAGGGGCAGACAAAGCATCCGGGGCCCTCTATCCACAGCTCCCTCAATTGCCCAGGCCCGGAGGATTACCTGGGGAGGTGGGGATCTAGAACACTTTGAATCTTCCTTAACAAAGATGACAAGTGGAATTTTAGCTTGAGTGTCCACTAAGTTTGCTCCAGACTGAGGGGTTTCCCAGAACATAGGAATTTCAGTGCTAAAACTGGAGCAATCCTGGGTGAACTGGGGCAGTCCTGGGCAAACCAGGACAGTTAGTCACCCCTGCATCACCATGGGCTGGGGCAAGAAGAAGGGGCAACATATCTGTCCCTTATTCCCATCTTTATTGTGAGGTGCTCCCTGAGAAAGTGGCCAGTGTCTGGGTTGAGGCTAAACACCTCAGGGAGAGGAGAGTAGAAGGGTTGGGTCCCTGGTGGGCCTGGGCATGTGGGGAAGGGGGTGCAGGCTCTTACCTGGGGTAAGTTTCCCTATAGATGAGTGTGGGGCAGAAGAGGAAATAGAGGTAGCTGGAGAAACTGGGGGCCCGGATCCCCTCACCTGAGGAGGAGTAAGAGGGGTCTATCAGTGAAGAGGGAAGGGAGAGAGGACACAGGTGGGTGGGGTGCTAGGGAAGGGCAGTGGGACTGGTGAATAGACTGGATAGGGGACGGGTGAGCACCTGGATATGGGATCTGAAGGTGGGGGGAGGAGGTCAAACTGGGCAGGAGTTGAACCTGCTTTTTAACAGCCTCCTTTTGCTTCCATTCCAGGTACCCCCCGCCGCTTTTCTGGCACAAGATGGACTGTGGCCAGGGCTTCATTTGGCACCCACAAGTCCCACCACCCGATTTTCTCTCCTTCTGGTTTGACTTTCTCATATAAGGCTCTCATACCCTGGGTCTAAATAAGGATGAGCCAGAAGTCCTGGGCAGTAGAGCAGCCTTCTCAGAAGTGGGACCTAAGAGAACGCCGATTGACTAAGGCCCAGAGAGCCCAGTTGGCGGCTGGAGGTGTGCCCTGTGGGCAAGATGGGCTTAGAAAGTTGGAGCTTTTATGAGGCTGCTGGCTTCATTGCACCTGCTGGCTTCATTCAACCAACCAAGAGGACTGAGTTCACAGCAGCGTCTGCTGAAGGCCTCACCTCCTCTGGCCCAAAGTGTTCCCGGTACCGTCTCTCTCAGGAAGGAGTAGCTTTTCATCAGGAGCCTGACCTGAGGTGGAATAGAAATGAGGTTAAGGTGCTTTGGGACTTTGAACAGATCACTTAACCTCTCTGTGCTCAGGTTTACACCGGGAGAGGGGCAGGTAGATTGTAAACTTTGTATGGTCAACGCCCATACTTTTATGTTTTTGTTGGATAGTCTTATAACCTAACACAGACGGCTGCTGGGATGAATCTAGGGTAAAGGAGTACCAGAAAGGGCAGAGCCTCTAGCCGGCCAACTCCCTTCGACTATATGATTATATTTGCACAGCAGTGTCCATTTGTTTACATTTCTTTGGAGACTGCTAGTTGGCTCAAATCTGTCGCAAAGGACTCTGCCCCTGATAACTAGCTCCACCCCCACCAATACAGTATCCAATGCCCTCTCTCCCAGGGGCCCCACCCCACCATTGGTCCCGCCCATCACCCACCTGCTCAAAGACTAGGACACAGCGGGAGGCTGGCGGGAGCTGATAGTCCACTGCCACGTGGACCGGGAGGATGCCGAGCACGGCGGCGTGGGCAGCCGGCAGCAAGCAGCCCAGGCCCACCCCCAGGGCCCAGGCCCCTCCAGACTGGGGCCTCTCCCACAGCCGCAGGGCCTGGTACGGCACCAGCAGAGTGGACAGGAACATGGGGACCCATGTCACCAGAGCCACGGGCAGCTGTCCAAAGCTGAAGGTCAGTAGATCAAACTCCATCATCAGCCTGGGAGTGGGGAAGGCGACAAAGTAGATGAGCATGAGGCCCAAACTTGTCCCCTTCCTCTGCAGTCAGAGCTCTCGGAAGACACATTGCTGAGCCCACGTGCCGCAACTACTGAAGCTCTCGGGCCCCTGAGCCCGTGCGCTGCAGCAAGAGAAGCCGCCGCAGTGAGAAGCCCTTGCACCACAACTAGAGCAGCCCCTGCTCTCCACAACTAGATGCAACAAGGAAGACCCAGCATGGCCAAAAATAAATAAAATTACCAATATTATATATCGGTGTAAAATATGTATTATGTATATAGTTTGGGAAATCCCTGGAGATCCAGTGGTTAGAATTCTGAGCTTTCACTGCGGTGGCTCAGGTTCACTCCCTGGTTAGGGAACTAAGATCCAGTAAGCCATGCAGTGTGGCCAAAAAAGAGTGCATGGCTTGTAATGGTAAATTAGAAGTGATTTTTAAGTCCATTAATAAAGAACTAAGTGATCAAAAGCTGGCACTTCCAGACTCTGCAGCCATTAAAATCAATGGAGCAACATGGAAAGATCTCTAAGGTGGGTCTTTAGGGAGTGAAAAGGAAACAAAAGGTACAGTAAGTATCTTAGTAATGTAAGCTCCCCCCCCCCCCCCCCCCCCCGCCCCTGCCAAATACATCCCCTTGGTTCTTACATACATCTGGAAGTGGAGGCATGAAAAATGCCCTGGAAAGAAACTCTTACAACTGTTAAACATGTTACCTCTGGGGAGCGGTCTGGGATAGAGGGGATGGTGGAGGAGTCGCTCTGCATATATTTGAAAATTTACTGAGATTTGATCCTTAGTTATAAGGATTGACAACAATTTTATCAAAAGGAAGTGCTGTTGCTGAACCTGCAAATCTTTGGTCCTCTTCCTTTTACTGCTTCCTAAGCTATCTGGAGGGTGAGGCAGGATCATGAAAATCCAAACCCCCAAGGGTCCACAGTCCCCTGAAGCTCATCCCAGAAAGGGAAGGGGTTTTGTAGGGAAACCTGGGCTCTTGTGTGCATACATCTGTCTTCACCTCAAGACTGGGAATGCCTCACAGACAGAGGCATGGCCCGTCCTCTGGCCCCCAGGGCTGGTACTTAGGCACTCACTGGAGGTTGCTTGAATTGAACAGCACTGTCTTGGAATGGAGTGCGTGAGAGCAGTGAGGTGGGAACCACACTTATGAGTGCATATACATGCATGTCTGCCTCAGGACAAGGGTTCCAGAGGATTTGAGTGGGGGCCTAGCGTCCCCAGGGGACTGATCCTGGTTAAACAGACCAAAGGCCATTCAAGGCTGTACAGGGAAATCTAAGAGGGCTTTGCGGGTAGGAAGGTGGTTGGAAGCAATGTTGATGTGTGTTTAATGATCAAATGGACCTGCTCTATGGGGCCCCAGTGGTGGGTGGAGTTCTAGGAGCCCAGGTAGTCTGACCTGGTCTATGGGCCTATGAGAGGGAGGGGTGCCTACCTGCCCTCATCAATGAGGTCAATGACCAGGGTGCTGACGATGAAGACGCACAGGCCGGCGACAAACATATGGTAGATGGTGCGGAAGTGAGGCACCTCCATCAGCTCGCTGGAAGGACAGGGGCCTGAATGTCAGTGGGAGAGTCCTTGAGGTGCTGCAGGCATTGTACACCATGGGGATGGGGCCTAGTGACTGGGAACTTGACACGACAGGCCGTGGTACGGCTGGGACTTCTGTCCAAAGCCCTTTCCATCCCAGACAACCTTCATCCTGGTGGCCTTTCTTCCACGATTACGCCCAGGGCAGATAGAGAAATGGAACCTTAGAAACCATCTCCACATCCTCTCCTAAACCACCTAGAGCCTGAGGATGACAAATGAGGTGTCCTGGACCCCCAGACAAAGCTCTTTCTTTTCTTCCCATCCCCTGTCCTCTCCCCTGACTTACTCAAGCAGGGACTTGCGGATGATGAAAACTTTTCGTTTCCCCAGGGATGGCTCCCGGGTCCTGAATTGAGACAGTGGTTCTGGGTTAGGAACCAAAGGCAGGAGGCTATAAGCAGAGCATAGGGCTTTGCAGGAGGTCACTACTTGGGAGCCAAGGGCAGTAGTAGGGGAAGGTCAGGGTTAGGGCCAGCACGCAGGATGAGGTGAAAAGGTCATGGCCAAGGGAGAGCAATGTCAGGAAGACAGAGGCGATAGGGAAGAAGAGGGAAGACTGAAGTCAAAGTTACATCCATGCTGGAAAAGGGCATGTGAGATAACATCTGTGGCTCACAGTCCTTATGATGGAGGAGGCCACACAGCCGCTCCTCAGCCCCCAGCTCCTGAGACTCTTACTTGTGCAAGGAATCTGGAGGGATGGAGGGCACTGGTCTGTCTTGCGCTGGGTAAGCTTGAATGGCCTCCCACATGGCCTGATCCAGCAGCTGCATCAGCTGGCCCTGCGCTTGCTCCAGCAGCTGTGTCTTTACAGCCTGCAGGACAAAACAGGGCAGGGTGCACCATCCCTCCATCCAGTCAGCCTCCCTCCCATTCAGCAAACACTTCCTGAGCCTCCCTGCATGCCAGGCACACTGCTGAGTGCCCAGGATGGACAGAAGAACAAGCATGGTTCCTGCCCAGAGGTTCCCCCTACCCCCAGTTTAACTCCCACTGGTTTCGCAGGGCAGCAGTGGGGATCCAGGAAAGATACTTTCAGTCTCTGGATCTGACCCCCAACCACCTCGTCATCTCTGATCCTACTCTCTTCTCCCTGACCCCAGCCTTTCCTCTCCTGAACTCCAGTCCTGCTATCAGAAGACTGTTCACCGGCTGACTTTGGGCCCCTGCCCTGATGACCTGTGCTTTAAACTCCTCCATCTTAACCCTTAGCTCTACCCTGATCTGAGAGGTTTGAACCCAAGAACAAATTGTCTTTATCACCAAACCAGTCCTCACCCTTTCCTCCCTCTACTCCAGGACCCGTCCGTTTGACCTCCAACATTGCTCACCTGCATATGTTGGGTCCATTGTACCAAATCTGGGCCTCTGTGCACCTCCGTGTTTCCTAGGGAAAGGAGAAGTTGGGGTTCTGCTGTCTAGTGCAGACTCAGAGGCTTTCTCCGCCCAGCAAGTTTGCTTTCTGTTTGCTCAGCAGCCTCCCCTCCCTACAAGCAGTCAATATCTAGTATCATGGCCAGGGTAGGGAGGGTGAGAGGGGTGGGGGTAATCAGAAGGAGGGTATTTTTGCAGGGGGTGAGCAGGCCATCGGCAAGCGGGGAGCCTGATGATATTACAGGAAACAGGTACCCAGGGAACAAGAAGCTACTCTAATCACTGACTGGGGTGAAAAAGAGTCAGAAAGACAAGGCAAGGCATTGGATAGCCCTTTTCTCCTTACTTCCCCAGCTGGGCAGTCAGGAGGCAGAGGCTGGGGTCTGCCTTTACTGGCCTCCCAGGACAGCCGGAAGGATTAAAGGTAGATAGCAGGAGCCCCCTCTCGACAGCACATCCCCACCTCCAACGCCACCTGGGCGTTCCGCACCCCCAGAGCGGGGCTCCCCTTCTCTGGAGGGCCGGTCCTCCTGCTGTCTTCCTTGCTTTTCTCTCCTCCGCACTTGGGCCGCCCTTGGCTCCATGATGTGTCTTGACCAGGCAGTGGCGGCTGATCAGTGTTTTCTCTCTTCCTTCAAGCTTGCCTGGCTGAGCGCTTATCTCGGCACCTCTGACAGCACCAAAGGCTAAAGTCCTTTCAGGAGGAGGGGTTATAGGTTTTCCGATCCCCTATCCCCATCCAGAAGGCAGCACCACCTCAGCCACAGGCTCTGCTGGCTGTCACAGGGATGGACATTCCCCCACCCCACCCCACTCCCACCAACAAACACCCCCGGCCACCATCCAGATGCCCAGCTCTCTCCCACAGGAATGGGGGCTCTGCACCCATACACATCATTGGGGAGGGGGACTTTGCCCCTCTGAGGCTTATCACCTGGTATGGCTGCTTCACCTGCTTAGTAGGCTGAAGGTTGGGGAGGAGTCAGCAACATCTTCAGGTATCAGGGCACTCAGCTCCCTGAGACCATAAGGTGTGTGAAAGAACATTGTCAACACAGCTGTGTGTGCACGTGACTACTATTCTATGAGGTGGGTACCTGAGACAACTGCGGGGCTGTGGCCCCTCCGGGGAGGGCTGGGTGCTGGGGCTGTGGACACCAGTCCTCCCCTACACCCGCTTGGGTTAGCAGGTAAGCAGAAAGGAGACAAAACAAAAACTTATTCAGCACCTGAGGGATGCCAGCGTTATCATGTATGGAAGAACCAGATTTCAATCCTCCCTTGATCACTTGCTGGCTGTGGAATTTCAGGCAAAGGACCCAAATAGTTTTAGCTGAAGTTTCCTCCTCTGAAAAACAGGTTCAAAAGTCCCTATCTCACAAGGTAAGCACAAAATGAGGTAGTCCAGGTAAAAGCACATGGACCAGGGCATGGTCCATGGCAAGAGCAGAGTGAGTACTAATTTCCTTCCCTTTTTAATACGAAGGAACAGAATGGCAAGTGCCTTGATATTCTCTTTGTTGAGCTACTGGTGGGGATTAACTATTAATCCTTCCTCTCCCTTTATGTCCAAAGATCAATGGTAGAAACAAGGTCACAACTTCAGACCAAGGCCTGCCAAGGCCTCAATGTCTCCCCACCCCCATCTCCTGCCTCCCACTCCCTGGTGGGCAGCTGGGTGAGGCTTAAGGCTGTGAAACCTCTACCAGTGGCTGTCTCGTCACTCCGAGTGTGGAAGGAAGGACTTCCTTGTGCAGTGCACAAGAGAAGAGAGCTTCCATGGTGGGGGCTGGACGGAGGCAGAAAGAAGGGCCAGTGGCTCCATAAATGTGAGAGGTGAACACAGAGACATAAACCAGAGATCCCCCCAACACAGCTTTATTAACACCCCAAGCCGACACCAGCAATCTTTCCACATGTGAGGTCCCAGGGGTGAGGGGGACAGTGGGGCAGGGCCTGAACGGTGTAGTTACCATCACTCAGCAAATAACCCAAGAGGATGGCCCCATGCTCCTGCCAGTGGCCCTGCAGCCCCCCAGCCCAGGCTTAGCCGCTGCTTCCGGTGGGGCAGAGGGAGCTTCCATCGCCGCCTTCTGAGGACCCGGGCAGGGGTTGGCCCATGCGATCCACGCACCAGCAGGGACCTCGGCGCTGCCCCTGGGAGGAACGGCACTGGGGAGAGAGGCATACGGATCAGCTGTGCCGCGAGGCTCCAGCGGGAGAGATGGGAGGGGCCCTCGGGGTTGGGAACATGCTGTGGACTCCTGAGTCTGAGTCTGCGGGAACCTCTGAGTGTTCTCAGGATAGTGAGGCCCACTGGCTTCCCTTCTGCGGCTTCCCTTCTCCACCCACCAGAGCATGCCTGTTCTTCTAGGCCAGAGCCGTGGTTCTCAAAGTGTGGTTTCTGAACCAATAGCATCTCTAGGGGCCATGTTAGAATGCAAATTCCCAGGCTCCGCGGGTGGGGCTCTGCCACCAGTGTTCATGGCAGGGTGATTCTGATGCTTATGTGAACCTGTCTCAGAGTTAGATGTTCCTTAGATAATCTTGATTTTCCTGGTGGCTCAGACTGTAAAGCGTCTGCCTACAATGCAGGAGACCAGGGTTTGACCGGGGGCGGTCAGGAAGTTGCCCTGGAGAAGGAAATGGCAATCCACTCCAGTACTCTGGCCTGGAAAATCCCATGGATGGAGGAGCCTGGTGGGCTACAGTCCATGGGAGCGCAAAGAGTCGGACACTACTGAGCGACTTCACTTTCACTAGATAATTTAAGGGCTTCCCTGGTGGCTCAGATGGTAAAGAATCCGCCTGCAGTGCAGGAGACCTGGGTTCGATCCCTGGGTTGGGAAGATGCCCTGGAGAAGGGAACGGCTATCCACTCCAGTATTCTGGCCTGGAGAATCCCATGGACAGAGGAGCCTGGCAGGCTGTACAGTCCATGGGGGTCACAAAGAGTCGGACATGACTGAGCGACTTTCAGTTTCACTTAGATAATCTAACCCTTCCCACAGCTGCGGTTAGCTATTCTCTATGCGTGGCCCTAAAGCTGGGAGAGCCCTAAAGGCAGGCCAGCGTCTCATTTATACAACTCTGTAAAGACCCTACCCAATCGTCGTGTAAGATGGGCCAAGGGAGGGGAGGAACGGCCTCACCTGCCGCTTCCGGTAGAAGCCCCTATGGTCACAATTAGGCACGTAGAGGGTGTGAGGCCCGCGGAAGACCTCGGTCTGGAGCTGCTGCAGCACGGAGTCCAGATGTTTGCGGCAGGGACCCTGGGGGGACGGACAGCTCTGCTGCAGAGCCTGCTGGTCCCACCAGCCAGGCTCCCAGGACTGGGATGGGAGACTTCGCCAAGACCAAGGGAGTGGTCTCAGAGGAGAATCTCCAGGGCTCTCCACCCCTTCTGCACCCTGCCAGCCCCAAACGCACCATCTCAGAGTCTTGGACGCCCCCAGAATTGGGCCGGGCGGGAGTGGTAGAGGTCCCCGAGTTCCTCTGTTGGTCTCTGCGGTTCACGTCCTGCGAGCGAGCGGTTCCTGCTTGGGGCTTACTCTCCTTAGGATTCTCCCCTACAGACACAAGAGAAATGGAGGAAGAAGAGCCCGGAAATCAACCAGATGTCAAACAGAGTCAAGTGGAAAGGAGCAGGACTTTCAGAGCAGTGACGGGGGTTAGAGTCTGGTTCCACTGTTACTTTCTCCAGGCCTCGGTTTCCTTCTCTGAAAAATGGTGATATTACCTTTCATGATAATATCCCCAGGCTAGTTTAAGGCTTATAAAAGACAAGTACTTTGGAAAGCGAAAATCAATACCGTACAGGCATTGATAAAGAGCCTTGGGGCTTTGGGTGAAAAGGCCTGGTTGTTCCACCGGAGGCCAGCAGGGGGCGCACCAAGCCAGGGAGTTGGGGGCAGAAGAGAACGGGCGGTGCGAGGGGGTCAGCAGGGACCCAAGTGGAATGTGTGTCCCCGCTGTGACCCTAAAGTGACTCAGCCTACCCCTCCCAGGCCGGAGACACAGTTAATTTGGGGGCACTGCAATGGGGGCCTTTCGGTCCCCTGAGGCTCAGCCAAGCTCAACTCCCGCGGTCCCAGGAACCTGTGCGATTCAGCCCTTCACCAGGAGGTGGAAGGCGGGCAGGCTGCAAAGGTGCAGGAATAAGCGGTTCCAACCTGCAGGCTGCTCCCTTCTCTGGAAAAGTTTTACGCACGGTACTGGGGGGCTTGGGGAGAGCTCAGGATGAGAAGGGAAAGTCAGAGTGTCGGGGCGAAAAAAAGGCAGGGAGGAGAGTCGCCGCTGCTTGGAATCTGCCCCAGCTAGAAATGAAATATTATGAGCCCTGAAGTGATGTCTCTCCCTCTCCACGCACAAAGACAAGCTCTGCTCAGCCCCCAGACCTCAAGCCTAGAGAGCTGCTCCCATCTCAAAACCCAAGAACCATTTCTTCTGCAATCCCAAGTCTGATCCTTCTTCCTCCACAGTTCTCAAATCTTGCCTCTCATTCTCTCTATTCAGTATCCTACCATGACCATGCTCCCAGCTGCCTCCTGCGACCCACCCAGACCGCTGCTTTCCAGGAGAACCCCAAACAGCTTGGACCCAGGCATTTGGGACTGAAAGAAACTGAAAGTTGATTTCCCATCCCTTCCATTGGAAGCGCTCAGATGCCCCTGGGGGGGAGGGGGAGGGGCGTTTACATTTCCTGCTCTCCACAACTCCCTGCTGCCCCCCATCTTTCAGGTTCTGACTCACTTCTGTCCCACCCACTCAATGACTCAGCCTTCTATTCTCTCTGGCTTAGGGTGGGGTGAGGTGGGTGGAGGGTTCTGAAAAGCTTTAAATCATAACCCTGATTTGGCAGATTCCTTCTTTTCCTACCTCTAACCCTCCCCCTGGGGGCGGGGGAGAGGGCTAGCGGCAACCCTCTGACCCTAGTCTAGTCTAAAACAGCTCTGGATTTGAGCCATCTTCTATTTTTCACTCTATGTTCAGGTGCTTTGGACACCCTGATATTAAAAGGAGGTATTTCTCAGTGTGTTCAGGGTTTGGGAGTCTGGAGTTCTCTTCCCTCTTTTTCTAAGTGGAAGCTGGGAACAATGTCTGGGTCCTTTCTCCAGCTTGGGGGTCTAGGGCTGAAGGAGCTGGGCCTCTGTGGCATACAGCAAGTCCCTAAACCCTTCCAACTCTCCCTTTCCCCTCAAGAGAAAATAGGCAGAGGGGGCACAAAAGGCTGCGGGGTCAGACATCTTCCTGCTTCATCCCTAGGGCCGTCAGCCTCACTCCAGTCTTGTAGGAGCTCCCCGCACTTGCCCTTTCACCCCCCAGAATATACCACCCCCCTCGGAGCTCAGGATGGGAAGCGAAAGTCAGGGTGTCAGGCGAAGAAAAGACAGGGAGGGGAGCAGACACTGCTTGGAATCTGCCAGAGATGGGGAGAAGGAAGCGTCCATCTGCCCCGAGCTCATCCCTCGGGGACCCAGCCTGCAGAATTGCGGGGCTCACGTGGGCGGGGCAGGGGCGGGGCGCGGCGGACTCACCCGAGGGCGTGCGCGCCCGGCCGCAGCGGCCCCGGCCCTGCAGCAGCGCCCGCAAAGGCAAATCCTCTTTCTCCGGCGGCTGGCACTGCAGTCCTGGGGCGCAGTTGGGAGTGTAGACCCCGCACTGCTGCCCCTCCCTCCTGAGACAGCCCCCAGCTTCCGTACAGCCTTCCGCCGCCGCCGGCCCCCCATCCTCCTCCTCCGCGCAGCCCCCTGGACAACCCGCCGACACCCCCTGCCCGCAGCCTGGGCACCTTGCCAAGGCGCCTCCTGGGCGGGCAGCGAGCAGCAAAGTTAGCAGCAGTGGCGGCAGCAGCCTGTGGGGGGTCATGGTCAGGATTTTTGCCCCGTCCGCTCCTCCCAGAGCAGTCGTAGCGCAGCTGCTGCCCGCCGCCGCCCCTCTGCCTTAAGTAGCCGCCGGCAGGGGCCGGGCCCTTTAAGAGCCAGGTGAAGGGGGGGCGTGTGGAGAAGGCAGGGGCATCCCCTAAACTGGGTGGGACTGGAGAGGCCCCCCCTCCACCTGGGTCCTCCCCACTCTTCTCTACCTCCTCCCTTCCCAGTTTCTGTTTTCTTCCCAAATTACTCCGATTTTTCTTGCTTTGTTCCCGGGAATCTCGCCCGGAATTTGGGAGCTGGACAGCTGGCTGGAGGCCCTGGAGGGTGGAAAGTGGTGGAAGCGGGAGAGGACCGGAGTTGGGATGAAGGGGAAACCTGAAAGCCCGTTCGGGCGTGTGTGTGGCGGGCGAAGGAGACCCAGGGACTCCGGTGGGGAGGGAGAAGATGGCGGACTTAAGGGGACGGAGAAGGGGTGGTGTGGGGGTCTGGAGGGGGACGTGGGCGAAGAAAAGAGAGAAAAGGCGGAGACGACGGAGAAGTGGGGTCTTGGGAGAATCGACTGCTGCTGGGAGAGAGTAAACCCAGGGCGAGGGGAGGAAGAGCAAAGCCGAGGGAGGAGCAAGAGAAAGTTTCCCTGAGATGTGACTGAGGGGAAGGCAGGTGATGGGGCCAGACTTGGGTAGGGTGCTGGAATGCTGGAAGACGGGGGAGGGCGGGGGTACACATTGAATGAACTGGCAGAAATCCTCGGACTATATTGGGGCCGTAAGAGTCTGGGAGGATTGTGGGGCATGGTGGGGGGGAGGCAGCAAGGCCGCAGTGTGGCAACAGGAGAACTGGCTGAACACCTGGGAGGCAGGGATGGGTGACTGACCAGCTGAAATTATGGGGGGTTGGGGTGGGGAGGTAGAGGAACCCATACTCTGGCTGCTCTAAGGGACAGTGGCCAAAGAGCAGACCTCAACCAATCTCTGTCCTTCATCCAAGTCAGCCCACCCCTCCATTCCTCTCCTTTCCCAGAATCTGGCCCCATTCCATCCCCACCCAGTATCATCCATTGGGTTTTCTGGATTATTCAGGCTGTTCTATGCCAAGGGAGGTTGGACGGTGATGGGGCTGAGTGTTTTGGGTCAGCCTGCTCTCCTGGGCTTTCACTCCATTGGTCTGTCCACCCCACCTCCCCCACCCGTGGCCTCCCTTCCCCAGGCAGTACCCTGCCCATCCCCAGAACTCCTAGCTGAGCCTCCTTCCTAGAGGGAGGAAGAAGGACCGTTTCCTTCTGCAACCCCCACCCACACAGCTCTGGGTTACGCAACACTGGCCATCTCATTCTTTCCTAAAACAAGGGCTCTGGGCAGTGACTAAGTTTAAATTCTGGGCCCCCAAGCAAGAATGTCAGCAAGAGCTTCCTGAACTTTTCGGTAAATGAAAAAAAAAAAAAAAGTTACTTCCAGCACCCTCCCCACAGGGCTGCCCTAGGACCCTAGGACATTTTGGAAGCAGTATCTTCCACTAGCCCAGAGACAGTGACGCAGATTGGGCAGGCAGGGAGGACGGTGCTGGGGCAGTGGGGAGGGGCAGCCTCCTCTACTCTGGGAGGCTCTGGGGCCTCCTGCTTCAAGCTCTGACCCCAGGGTAGTGTGCTTAATCCTGTCCCTCCATCCTTATCACTATTGACTTTGCCCAGTACATGTCTCTGGCTAGGGCTTTTCTCCTGACTCCACCTTGTTGCTCTTGAATAAGACGGAAAATTCTGTGGAAAGTTGGGATGGGAAAGAGATGGCCCCGCTCCCTGCAGGATCTCAGCGTGGCTTTTAAAAGCTTGGGTAAAGTGATTTTGCAGGTTATATTGCACAGAAGCCCAGTACTCTGCTAGCCTCTCACATCCACTGCTCCCTTCCCAAGCTCCCCCATGCACCCTCCTACATCACTGCTACAGACCTCCCCTGGTTATACTCCACTGCCCGGCTGGGTCCTGCCCCGTCCCGTAGCCTCAGCACAGCCCTGAGCAGCCCGGTCCCTCCTGCCTCCCCAGCACTGCTCTTCCCTCTTCCCCATGCCTCCGGCCTAGGTGTCCAGAGCTGTGTGCTTCCAGTGCTGAGATCTAACTAGGCTCTTCCTTGCAGACTGAGACTCTCAAACTCTGCTTTCCTCCCTTTGGGATGCCTTTCACCTTAGCACCCAGAGCAGAGGTCTGAAGGTCTCAGTAAGTGCTCAGGATGGAGCGTGGGTCAAAACAGACTGCTGGGACCCTGTCTGGCCTCTGTGGAGAGGAAGCTTCTGTCACGGCTGTGAAAAGGCTAGACAGCTTGGGCTGTTACTTAGGCTTTTTATAAATAAACTTTGACAGGACTTCCTCCTTCTCTTACAGGTTACACTCTGTCCTCCTCCTCTCATCCAAACCCACAGCACCATCAAGTGCTAACTTCATTTTGAGAACGGGGGTAAAGGAGAGGGCCTGCCTGGATCCTTTTGAGTGTTGAGTCTGCAGAAAGGCAAGTGGTTGCACAGTCTACAGATCGAAAGCCCCAGAGAGATGGCTAAATGACCACATCATGATGTGGCCTAAGTCTGCTATGGGTCTGATGGGAACTGTTGTGATAACCGCAGATGGTCTCCAGCCTCTGATTTCTGCCATCTGTCCCACATGCAGCCTCCCAATTGGTCTTGCTCCTGTGGCTCTCTCCTCCTCAAATGCCTTTGGTGGTACCTATGCCCTTCTTCCCTGCCCATGGACCTGTGCTGCCATGTGGCAATCATGACCCGGTGGACAGTCGGCCCTGGAAGCACACTCTGGTTCAACCAGTTGGTGGGATCACCCTTGGCAGTTTCTCATCTCTGAGTCTGAACTGAGATTAGGGGAGGTGAAGGTGTGATGCTCAGAGGTAATCTGGACTGCAAGTCTTCAGCTCATAAGGATGAAACTCCCCCCTGCCACTCCTCCTACTACAGACCAGATTCTGCCATCTCTTCCCCACCTGCTTGGCCAGCGGTCTGCCTTTCTCTGAATTCATCCATATTATTGTGTTGCTATCTTAAATATCTGCTTATCTTTTCTGTGTCTTATTTTTCCAATTAGATTATGAGTATTTTGAGAATAAGAGCCCCATACCTTCTTCATCTCTGGACCCCCAGCTCCTAGCTCATCTTTGGAATTGATACAAGTAAAGGTTGTTGTTTTGGGTGAGAACAAAGGCAGTCCTGGGGGAGGGCCTTGAGAGGTGAAGGGGGTACACTGTAACTCTCTGGAGGCTCCACTGGTGCTTCTATACTTCTGAGCTAGCCCAGGCAACCCAGGGCAGCTTTTGGCTTTCTCAGTCCCTCCTCTCACTTTCCCTATCCCTCCTGTTGTTCTCAGAGTAAAGGCCAAGGAGACTGAGTGTGGTCAGGGTTCAATAAGAGAGGGAAACCTGGCCCCAGGATAAATCAAAGAGGGTTTCCTGGAGAATAGGTCTATAAAATAGAATTTAGGAGAAAATATAGGTTAAGATAGGTTGAAGAGAGGGAAGGGTGGAGGCTGTCTCAGAAAAGCACATCTTTGTGTAAGAGGTATGAGAGTATAGAGTCATGTAGCGGGTGTGTGTGCATGACTTGTTCTGCCTAGATTCCCAGTGTCCCAGTTATACCAGAGAAAGGTGAACTAGAAAGGGAGCAGAGAAGTTTTCTAGACTGGGCTGGAGTTAGCCAGATGGTTAGGAACTGGGAATCATTAGTGAAGAAGGAGTAATAACTGCAGGTCTGAAGTTTGCTTTTTTTTTTTTATAATTACATGAATAAAAATCAATAGATTGATAGAGCATTTATTTATGTGGATATAACTATATGACATGGACATAATTAAGGAGGAACTGTGTTCACAGGGAGCTTAGAATTAGTATCTGTCCATCCAACACATGCTTAACACCTAAAAAATCAAACAGGATGGTAGGGTATTCCAGGATAGAATGCAGACTGTAACAGGTAAATCTAACTATATTATACATGCATGGCACAAACACACTAAGGTGGTGAGGGGAAAAAAGGTGCTGACCTAAGTAACTTTGGAAAACAATGTTTCGACTGGAAACTGTAAGGCTACTGATAAATGGAATGGCACGCTCTGTATGCTACATAAACACTGTACTCTAGCTGATAAGTTTGTTTCTCATGGGCTTATGGATTAAAAATTTTGAAACTGCTCAGTGTAGACTGGGGTGGAGCAAATAAGTAATGGGTATTGGGTTTCTCTTGAGAGAGAAGTTACAGAGAAGTAGGGAGGAAGGGTAGAATCAGCCCTGTGGTACTGGATTAGAGTGGAAGATATCAGTACAATCCTTGTGGAGTGGACTCCATATTGTTAAAAAGTCAGTTCTCCCAAAATTGATCAATAGATTCAGTGTAATGCCAATTAAATTCCTAGACTGCTTTTTTGGTAGAAATGGGCAAACTGATAGTCTCATAAGGAAATGCAAAGGACCTGGAGTAACTCAAACCAACTTTTAAAAAGAACAAAATTGAAAGACTTATACTACTTGATTTCAAGACTTATTATAAAATTATAATAATAAAAACATAAAGGTAAAAAAACAGATCAGTGGAACAGAGAGTCTAGAAATAGACCCACAAGAATATAGCTAATGATTTCTTTTTTTTAAAGACTTTTAAAATTTTATTTATTTTTGGCCACACCCCGTAGCATGTGGGATCTTAATTCCCCACCCAGGGATTGAATCCATACCCCCTGCACTGGAAGCATGGAGTCCCAACCACTAGACCACCAGGCAAGTCTCTGAAAGACTTTTTTAATAACAGTTTTTCAATACATGTTTGACAAAGGTGCAAAGGAATTCAGTAGAGAAAGGACAATCTTTCCAACAAATTCTGCTGGAACAATTGGATCTCCATGTGTAAAAAAAAGAAAAAGAACTTTCATCTATACCTCATAACATACACAAAAATTAATTTAAAATTACTCATAGATCTGAATAAAGTTGTTAATGTATAACCTCAATCTAATAATGAGTAAAATGATAGATAAAATGAAAATGAAGGACATTATACAAAATAATTGGCATCTATTTTTCAGCAAAGATTGAATAACTGTCCCAGATTAAGGAGCCTAAGGAAACATGACAAGTAAATGTTAGTCACAGATCTGGGGTTCTAATTCAGATTTCCTAATTTCCGGCCTACATCTATTTCTGACACCTATTTCCATTATGCCAAGTGGCTACTGTTTATGTTATAGGAGAGCATGGCTTCCATTTCATTCAACATCTGTAGAGCACCTCTTTATGATAAGAATAGGATAGCTCCCAGGAGTCAGAAGGAGCCCACACTTGAGCAGAGAGACATCTACACACATAGATTATTTTCATAGTAAAAGTAAGACTGTAATAAGTGCTGTAAATGAGGTGCAAAGAAAATGGTATAAGAATACGGGGGGGGGGGGGGGGATGTCCCCTGGTGGTCCAGTGGTCAAGACTTCACCTTCCAACGCAGAGCCTGTGGGTTCCATCCCGGAAAGGGGGGCTAAGATCCCACATGCCTCATGGCCAAAACACCGAAACATAAAAGCAATATTGTAACAGATTCCATAAAGACTTAAAAAAAAAAAAAAAAAAAAACCCACAAAAAACAGAGGAGGGGAAAAAAACCTTCCTACCTGGAAAAGAGAAATTTGGTAATGGGAGGAAATGGGGAAAGTCCTCCCCAGAATGGCAATAATCACCTTCCAGTAGGTGTGCGATAAAGGTCAGTACCATATCTATCTTCCCTATTCATTATGGCCCCAGCGTAACTTTCCTTAAGTCACACCAATCCCTCTGCTTTTTACATTCGAAGTTTTCTCCTGGTAGGAATGCCTTGCCCAGAATGAAGGCAAGGTGACATGAAATGGAGCTCGAGAGAATATAAAGCACACGGTAATGGTATAACTCTGGAGAATAGAAAACATATGGTAACAGGCACACGCGTTATGGAGACCAGTCTCAGGCTCTGAACACGCAAACAGGATTTAATTATAAGACTCATTTCATAAGGACATTCCTACAGAGCTCTTAGCATCACGTCTGACACGGAACTGGCGCTGAGGGAATAGTCACAGTATTTGTGGGTACGCAGCGACCTTACTCGCCCGGGGTGGGAGCCGCCCCTTGACCGGCCAGTCAGCGCCCGGGGCTCCCAGTGCGGTGTCCCGGCCGCCACGTCGCCGCCTACCACCCTCTCGACACCCGGGTTTACCAGCCCCTACCCGGCGCTAGGTACCCGGTTCACCGGGCCGCGCCCAGTCCGGCCTGCGTCCTTCGATTGGCTCCTGCAGGTGCTTGTCGTCCTCGGCCGCTGCAGATTGGCCGGAGTGGGTGCAAAGGGGCGGGGCTGGGGAAGCGTAGGAAGGGCGGGGACCCGGATGTGTGTGGTGGCGGCGGCCGAAGAGCTAGTGTGCGGAGCTGAGAGGCCTATGGATGAGGAGGACGCGGCGGCCCCGGTAGGCGGGGATCGGGGGCGGGGTCCCGGAGGCCTCGGGTCGGTCTCCACCGAGCCTGAGGCGGGAGGCGGGAGGCGGGGGTCCTGGGCGGAGGCTTCGGAGTCAGGGGCGGGGCCTTGCGCTCTGGTTGCTGGGCTTCCTCTCTGGGGACCCTTCTCGGCCCAGTGCAGGGCCTGGGGAGTGTGGGCGTAGTCACACTGACGGGCCAGTGCTCCTTTCCCCCGGGTCTCCTCTGAGTGATCCGGGTGGAGGCGGGGCCCGGTGCGGTCTCCTCTCGCTGGTGCCAAGGCTATGGGATTCTAGGCAAGCAGATGTCCCTAGGTCTGGGGCGCCAGCATCAACCTGGGATCGAGCCCTGGCCGAGAGCCGAGGAGGCCAGTCCTAGAGCTACCCCGCAGGTGCCTACCTTCCTGAGCCACGCAGTGGCTTGCGGCTACTGCAGAAGCTTGTAAATATGCGCATGGGGAGTGAATTTAGCCTAGTCAGCTTCCTAAGCCCCTACTGTGTGCAGGACACTGTCAGGCCTTGATGGAACCCTTGTCTCAGGGTTTGGGATATGGGAAGAGAAAGTAACTCCTCTTTTTGTCACTTGAGGGAAAATTCATTCACCTATGCATTAGCACTGTTGGTGGTTTAAATACCTGGGTCATCCTACTCCTCTCCATCTCCCCTACTACCATCTTTGTGGATGCCATCTCTCGTTAGAACAGCAGCAGCAGTCTCCTCATTAATTGTTTGCCACTCTGTTTTGCTCATCTTGTGATGAGTTTAGTCTCCAGCCAACCGCCTGAATAATTTTTACAATCAGATAAACCTTAGAAACATATCATTTCCTTGATTAAAACCCTCCAGAGCTTTCCCATCATACTTGGAATAAAATTCAAACTTCTTAACGTGGTCTGTAGAGCATTGATCTGGCCCCTACCTTCCTTCCATTCTTTTCTGATACATTTTTTTTCTGCCTCACATTCCCTGCACACCAGTCACCTATCCTTTTTCTATTTCCTATCATGCCAGCTGCCTTGCACCTCAGGACCTGTGTTCTGGCTGTCCCCTCTGCCTGGGATGCTCTTTCTTGGGCTTGTCACATGCCAGTCACCTTTCCATCTCATAGAGTTCAACTCGTTATTCTTTCATCACGTCACTCTGCTTGTTCCTGCACTGTCTAACATTGTCATGTCTGTCTATTGTCTATCATGTCTCCCTTGGTAGAATGGAAGCTCTATGAGAATAGGCAGCTCATCCGTCTTGTTCACAGCTGTATCCGTAGCACCTTGGACAGCAGGAGCACATAGCGGGAGCTCGGTAAATGTTTGCTGAATTAAAGGATGAGGGTGGGGATTGTTAAGGTCAATCTAGGCAACTGGCTTCAAGTCTAGAGTCCTTTCTGCATTCTGGGTAGAACCGGCCAAGGTGCTCAGGGCCCTGCTTCCTCCTCCTCAAGTCCCTTCTCCCCCTTGGCAGGTTTGTTCTCATGAACAAGATGGATGACCTCAACCTGCACTACCGGTTTCTGAATTGGCGCCGGCGGATCCGGGAGATTAGAGAGGTCCGGGCTTTCCGATATCAGGAAAGGTTCAAGCATATTCTTGTAGATGGAGACACTTTGAGGTGAGTTTCAGGGAGGGCTTTCACATTTTCCTTATTTTCCTTTCTGTGCCAGGTCTTAGAGACGAAAGGGGCTTTTGCAGAAGCAGACAGCTGTCTACACTGCGTGGGGATGCAGTGGACTCTGGAGGCCTTTCTGAATGGGGCAGTGTGTGCTTCTTCACCTTGTAACTCTCTCTGCCTGTGTCTCTGGGTCCCTCTGTCCTGGTTTGTGTGGGAAGCAGTCATGTCAGAGATGGAGGCTGCTGGGGTCTCAGGAATTGCCCAACTGTCTTGTCAAGAGGACTCCAGTGAGTCTGTGCGGTGCCTGGGTCTCCTGCCTGCATTTCTTGAGTTGTGTTTGGTGAAAGAATGACCAATTCAAAGGTAGTGGACTTCCTGTTTTGGGAAGGATGGCCCTGCAGTGCATCCTGCTCACTGCCTTCCAATCCTTTGGTTTGTGTGTTTGTTTTCTCTCTGTTTTCTGGCTTGAAACTCTCCCTTGAGTCCGTTGGAACCTAATTCTCTCACAGAGTTGTTACTGGAAGAGGGACAGAAGTAGTGCTGTCTAGCCTGGAAACAAGAAAGTTGAGGAGTAGGGAGTGATTAACTCTTTCAATCAATGAACGGCTTTGGTCCAGAGGATGGAGACTAGCCATTCTCAAACTCCACTGAGAACAGGGCCAGAGGAAAAGGGCTGAAGCTGCAGCATGAAGGATTGAGGTTAGACAGGGTGTGAGACCGCCTAATAGGCAACTGCGGGAGGCTCTGCCTCCTCTTCTCCACTGGCAGTGAGTAAGCCAGGCTTACAGTGATCTGGTATGGGTTGGACCCTTGCTGGAGGCAGCGGGTGACCTCAAGTATCTTGTTATGGTGTTTGTGCAGATGTCCCTTGTGACCAGGTGGATTCTCCTCTCTGCTGGCCCTCACAGGGTGGGGGCTGGGGACACTAAGGTGCTCCCCCAAATTCCTGGGCTAGGATGCTAATGGACCTCCCTCTCCATTTTTCCTTCAGTTACCATGGAAACTCTGGTGAAGTTGGCTGCTATGTGGCTTCTCGACCCCTGACAAAGGACAGCAATTATTTTGAGGTGATCGAGGCTATGGGTGGGCAGAGTAGGGGGTGAAATGGTTTAGATCCAGGGAGCTCTTTTACTGGATTCTTGACCTAGTTCTTTAAACTTTCCATCAGGATTATCCTGTTGGCTGGGAATAGGGCCCAGGATATCATGATGCCTAATCTGAGAGGCACCGTAGAGTCCTGTCACCCTGTCCCTTCGGTTCTCCTGCCCTTCACCTAGGTAGAATTTGACCCATGTCTTTTCTCACCCCCTCACCCAAGCCCAGCATCTCCATCTCCTATCTTTTTCCATGGCTTGGAAATTATTTTCTAAGTAATTGTGATAAAGTGGGCCCCCACTTTTCCCAGTTCTCCCTCTGGGTGCCCTTTCTCTTTGACTCCCCTGTATCCTGGCTCTTTGAGCCTCAACCCCTTTGATGTCTGTTCCCCGCTGTGCTAACTGTGTCCTGCTCTCCTCCCTCCAGGTGTCGATTGTGGACAGTGGGGTCCGGGGCACCATTGCTGTGGGACTGGTTCCTCAGTACTACAGCTTGGATCACCAGCCTGGCTGGTTGCCTGACTCTGTGGCCTACCATGCTGATGATGGCAAGTGAGTTGCCTCTTGTGGCACCCAACGCCCTTTCTGCGGATTTGGGAGTCTGAGATATAATGGACTACCTCAGGGTGGCTTTCGCCATTCCTGAGGTTAAAGCGTCTGCTTCCAATGCGGGAGACCCGGGTTCGATCCCTGGGTCGGGAAGATCCCCTGGAGAAGGAAATGGTAACCCACTCCAGTATTCTTGCCTGGAGAATCCCATGGACGGAGGAGCCTGATAGGCTACAGTCCACGGGGTTGCAAAGAGTCGGACACAACTAAGCGACTTCACTTTCACTGGTTTTGGAGTGTTTTCATAGATTTTTCTGACCAGGTCAGGAAGGTGGCCTGTTGACTCTCCTTGGAGGTTTGCAGACTCAAAGGGGAGGGTGGAGCTCATCCAAGGACGCAGGTAGATGGTGTTCCAGAGTGATCGGGAGCAGGAGCACTAGGGAGAAGGTGGGAGGCCAGGCTCAGATCGAGTGTTGTTCCGCCCTGTCCACAGGCTTTACAATGGCCGAGCCAAGGGTCGCCAGTTTGGGTCAAAGTGCAACTCTGGGGACCGGATTGGTTGTGGCATTGAGCCAGTGTCCTTTGATGTGCAGACTGCCCAGATCTTCTTCACTAAAAATGGGAAGCGGGTAAGTGGGACATCCTGAGTGGAATTTAAATGGCTTGAAGCTGTCCAGGGACTTGTGTGAGTGCTGTGAAAGAGTCTGCTGGCTGGGACTGGCCCAGGGCCCCCTAGGCTCATTTCCCATCTTCTTCAGTTCAGTCTTAAATTCTCCTGGGCTCTCCTGCATGTAGAAGACCCTCCCCTCACCCAGGGGAAGCTGGGACTGTCCCCAGGTGGTAGACACAGAGGGACAAGTTTATGCAGTGGAGGAGGGGCAGGATTTGTTGGGGACAGAATGGGGTGATGTGGGGGAAGGTTTTGAGCAGGCAAAAAGAGGGAGAGTTTATGGCCTGGCTCTGTAAGCTGGAGGTTGTCTTGGGACTTTTGACTTGGATGCTTTTGAGGGTATGTCTTTTCTGTGTTTTGTGTTCCTTGTTTCACTTCTCCTTTCCTTCCCTCTTGAAAGGCTAGTGATGGTGGAGGGCTGGGATAAGAACACATAGGAGAGACCCGGGCTGTCTTCCTTCTCCTCCCCAGCCCCACCTCCTGCCCAGGGAAATCGCTTTCTCAGTTCTCCACTGAGGGGTTTTTCTCCTTTAGCATCTATCCTGAGCTCTCTTCCTGCTCCAGTCCACACTCAACATGTACCAAAAGTATTTGGCGGCACGTTGAGAGACTTGGAGTTTGCCTTCTAGCTCTGTGGATTCCTTGCTCAGCCAGGAGTGCTCAGCAGCTTTTTAAAAACTTCTCTGTACCTTTGTTTTGCTCTCCTGTCAGCGTGTGTGATGATGCCTGGTTGCATCATTCTCAAAAGTCCCCTTGTGAGAATTGGATGAGTCGTAGGAAAAGTGAGCAAGGCGGTAGCTCCCTCCTTTCTTACCTCCCAACAACACAGGTGGGCTCCACCATCATGCCCATGTCCCCGGACGGGCTGTTTCCGGCAGTGGGCATGCACTCACTGGGTGAGGAGGTGCGGCTGCATCTCAACGCTGAGCTGGGCCGCGAGGATGACAGCGTCATGATGGTGGACAGCTACGAGGATGAGTGGGGCCGGCTACATGACGTCCGAGTCTGTGGAACGGTAAGTAAGGGGTGGTAGGCAGAGGGCGCCGGGGGAGCTCTAAGGGCCCCAGCTCTCAGGCTCTTAGGATTGCTTAGAATAGGCAGTGAAGACAGTGTCTTCTGTAGGGTTTTGGAAAGTGAGAATTTGGGCAGGAGTGCCTGGCAGCCCGACATGATCCTTGAGTCCAGGTCTGTGTTCTCTTAGCATTGGTCCTCCTTTCCCGCCTTCCCTTTTGTTTGAGAGCTCAGGCTCATCTCTCAACCCTGGGAGAAGCAGTAGCTCTCCTTTGCCTTCTTTGGTTCCTTCAGCCCCCAGGGCAGTGCACACTGCTGCCCTGTGCGTCTGTCTGCCTCTGAGAGGCTGGGCTGACTTTGGAGAGGCCGGGTGCCTGGACCTCCCTTTTGGCTTGAACCCAGCCCAGTTGGCCCAGCTTTCCACCCACCGCAGTGAGGGGCAGGTGTCGTCGTAAATCCTACTCGCGTCGTAAATCCTACTCGCGCTGGGAGAGGTTCTTCGAAATCTTTTTTGAGTAAGCATCCATGTCAGTCTCTTCGGCTTTCTTACATTTAATAGAGGATGAGAATGGAGGCGAATGATGATTCAGTGAGAGTCCTTGACCCTCCAAAGCTGGCCTTTTCATACACCCATCATACCTGTGTTAGTCCCCTGACTAGATTTTAAACTTGGTTGGGAAGTGTATAGACCTCGAGGGAAGGAAATTCTTCATACTTACCCTCTGTGCCTCATGCTAGCTTGGAAGTGGATGGCTGCTGAGTCAGGGGTCTGGCCCTGACCTCTAGTGGACTGCTCAGGCCTCCCGCTTGGAATTGTCCCTCTGCTGCCCTCCCGCCCCTGGCTCAACCTTTTCCTCCACCCTCTGGCCTTCTCACCCCAAGACAGGCTGTTTTTAACTCAGCCTTTCATAGCAAAACAGAAGCAGTAGGGGGGTGGGAGTGGGTTAAGAGCAAGGCTCTCCATTTCTGGAGTGCAAGGTGCGTCCAATCCAGGGAAAATGGTAGGAAGCGTGCACTCCTGCAGCTTCTCACACTCTGCACCCCCTTCTGGCCCTGGGGTCCAGGGACTGCAATGGCCACCAGCCCGGAGGCCTCAGATGCCCACTCCCTGATCTTCCTCTCTTCTTTCTTTTCCCCTTCCACCATCATTCTGACAACATCTACAGAGCTGAAGTTGGGGCTGAGCCAGGGCGATGTTCCAGCTCTCACCCTTGACCTCTCCTCAAGTTTTCCTGGCACCTTTCCCTGCCTGGACCTGGCCCTACTCTGCTCCTTGCTCCTCCCAGGCAGTCTTTTCTAATTGATGTGAATCCTGTAGATGTTTATAAATAGCCTGCCTTCCTCTCTGCCCCTCCCCCAGTGCCCTCAGGCCACACATTTAAGAATTTTTTTTTTTCTTTCTTAGATGTAAGCTATTGAGTTTAACTCTTCTCTTAAGCCCCAACCCCAGCTAGGGAGAGCTGGCAGGGTAGGCATGCTGTTCCCTGCATACTTGCTCCTCTGGGGCTGCCTTGGACCTGAGCCTCTTGAGGGATGCCTCTCTTCTAGTCTTGCCCCATCTTTCAAGTGAGGGTGACTTACCCAGTTTCTTCCAGCCCTTTGACCCGCCATCCGCACTCTTGCCTCCTGGCCGCCTCCTTCGTGTCCCTTCTGACCATCCACTGTATTTCCGATCTGGTGATCCGAGTGTCAGCCTGCAGGAGCCTGGGAGAGGTCACCGGGCTGCGCCTGTGCCTCCTGTTTCTAAAGATGTCTAGTGCAGCTGCTTCTCCCCTCTGCCCTTCCTGTTTTTACGTCCCCCTCTGTGCGGAGCCCTTCCCAGGGACCTCGACCTCTGCTGTGGTTGCAGCCTGTTTCTCCTGCCCTGATGATGTTCCCAGGGGAGCATCCTGTGGAACCATAAAAGTCTGGGGTGGCCTGGGGCAGGCTTTGATGCCATCCCGCCCAGGTTTCTCAGTGTAGAGACTGTGGGCCTCTTAAGTGAGACAGTTTCTCGATGGGCAGGATGTTTAGCATCCCTGGCTCCAAGACCCAAGATGCTGGTAGCTCCTCAAACCACGCCCCCCGCCCCCCAGCTGTGTGACTGCCTGCACATTCCCACGTATCCTCTTGTACTGCTGAGAAAACAGTCCCAGAGAAAATTAGACTTGATCAAATGTCTCAGTGAATTAGTAACAGAACTAAGCCTAGATATTCCTTCTGTGACCCCTCCCCCCATCTTTCCCACTCTCTGATATATGCTGCCCTCTACCCAGGCCCGCTCTACTGTAACCAGTCTCTCCTGCCCCCTTCTCACAGGATGAGTCCAGAGTTCCTGGGCTTAAGCCCACTTTCCCAGAGACTTTCCTGTCTGGTGTCATTAGCCAGGGGCTTCCTAGGTGAGTCTTCTTGGCCACCTTGGAAGGCTTTTACTTCTGTCTTTCTTTCAGTTTTATAGTCTCAGTTATCCTTTCTCACTGATTCTTCCCAGACAGAAAAGAGACTTCAACTCCAGACTTTTTTTTTAAACCCTAACAATTCATTCTGAGAAGTTTGCAACATACAGAAAAGCTGAAAAAGTAGCACAGTAAACACCCACTGGGTCTCCACTACCTAGATTAACAGTTGTTAATATTTAGTTGTGTTTGTTTGATCTGAGGATCTATGTATGGACAGACCTAGCTCTTTCCAGAGGGCAGTCTTTCCCTGCTTCCTGTTGCCTTACTTTCCCCTCCCAGAGAGCGCCCCCTTCCCAGAGCTCTGGGATGCTGAAGAGTTGCTGTTGCAATGTTGGTGCCAAGATGGGGGAGGCTGCCCCTCATCCCCATCCCCAGGCCTTGCGCAGTGTGCTTAGGTAACATGCTGAGGGCGAGGGTCAGTCGGCAGGGCTGGGGGTTACACTCATTCTGTCTTTGTTCCTTGTTTCTGTTCACAGCTCCTCTGACAATTCCTTAGTGACAGGGCAGCAGCTTTCATACACAAAGTGGGGTGAATGAGGCCCCACCCTCTCAGGGGTCCTCCCCAGACCCAACCCAGGAGGAGACCTGTTGGGGCCTGAGCTGGCCGGTGGGAGGCATGTTCCTGGTTTGTGTTTCAGCTGCTTCTAGGCCCTGGGGCACTGAGCCCTCCCCTGATCCTGTCAAGAGGGATTAGGGTCTGGCAAGGGCGGGTCGCAGCAGGAGAGGAGGCAAAGAGTAGGTGCTGCCTATGAGGGAGGGGTGGGGTGCAGGAGGCTCTCTGCACCCTGGTCTGCAGCCTCTGCTCTTGGGGGTGAACTGTTTGGCCTCTCAAAGCTTCTGTTGTGTGTAGAGGAAGGTAAAGGGGGTCTTGGGAGCCTTAAGGAACGAGTTCCCCTACCCCACCAAAGATGTTGATAGGGGCATTGTTTGAGGAGAAAGCCTTGGGAGGAAGACAGTTGGTCATCTGGGCGGAGTCATCTGGGGAGTATCCTAGGGAAACAGTGACCAGTCCTGAGAGCCTCAGGGGCCGTTCTGGTGCTGGGGGAGGAGGGTAAGGGCTGAGATGAAAGATCCTGTCCTTGTTTGTGATTGGCAGTTTCAGTCTGTTGTAGCTTTGGGACGATTGTTAATGTTTAGGGAGCATTGGAACATTGGGGTATTCTAGTATAAACCCCATTTCCTGGGTTCAGGAAAGGCCGACGTGTGCATTTATCACCTGCCGGGCTCAGACTAAGCCCTTGGCACTCACTTCACTTTGTCACTGGTTTTTGGAGATGCAGGTGGTGGTTCCTCTCCTGACTGTGCAAGGAACCCAGGCTTCTGGGCAGTGAGCCGCTGTGCTTTCTGAGCTGTCCTGCAGGGTGGGAAATAAGTTTTAGAGCCCCGAATTAGTGTGTTGCATTAGTGTGTTTCATCCTCCTGGCCTTGTAGCTTAAGGAAGCCTCCCCACCCTCTCCGTAGACAAAAAGGCAGCCTGCCCTCCTCAGGGCCGAGGCAGAGGGAATGGTTGGGCGGGTTTTTCCCAAGGATCAGGATCTGGATCCGCTGTCTTTTGGCTCTGAGAATGGAGAACACTGTGTTTCCTACACTGAGGCCAGTTGGATGCCGTGGGTCAAGGGCAGCTGTGGGGTCCCCCACCCAGTTCGGCAATGCAGAGGAGAGGGTGGGCTGGGGGCTGCTCAGACTGGGTGGAGTCCATGCTAGTTAATGTGCTTCAGACCCATAACCCCACACACCCGCCACCGGCCTTGTGGGGAGAGAGACAGTGGAGGAATTCAGGCTGAGCTGAGCCCACCCAGAGGACCAGAAGTAGAACTTAGACTGGGTGGGCCTTTACAATAAATTAGACCACCTGCAGGGGAGCTCTTTCTGATGGAAGAATGCAGTGTGAGATAATGGAGACTTGGGCTAGGAGTGTGACATCGCGGAACCAGGGTGCCCTGAAGTGTTTACAGTCCTGGCTGGAGGAAGGAGGGGAGAAAGGTCCAGTGATCTGCCGCACACCTCCAGCTTTTCTGTTGGTGCCCCTGTCCCCTGCCTGCCTGCGGTTGTCTGGGGCGGAGGGGAGGATGGACTTGCGGTGCCAGGGTTTCGGGGATCCAGGGTGAGGAGGGGTCAGTGCCTCCCTGAAGGGGTGGTGAGGATGTGGCCTCTCCCTCTGCTGAAGACACACGGAGGCTTGGGCGCTGGTGCCAGCGAGCTTGATGCCTTTCCTGTTCAGGCAGGAGTTCTTTGAGGGGTGAGAGGCCAGTGTCCCAAGGCTTGCCTGGGAGAAGTGGAGGAGGTCCCCAGGGAGTGAGTTTTCTTTAGGGCCAGAAGGGTGGGAGGGTAGAAGAAAGTCTTGAGGGGCAGTTTGGCTAATTAAAAAGGGATTAAGGAATCCCAGGTGATGCTGAGGGTGGGGGACAGAGGGGACAGGGTTGAGTCACAGCCCCACTATTACCATGACAACTGATAAATAAATCCTCCCAGATTGGGGGTTGCCGCCCCGTCTTGCCCAGGCAGGATCACCGTGGGGCTGAGGAGCCCCAGGAGCCCATCAGTCAGCTCCCCTCCACACCCCTGCTCCAGCTTAAAAGAGCCGCAAGGGGCTGGGAGCAGGAATGCCTGCCTTTCTAGCCCTGCTCTGCCTGTCCCCCCCAACCCCTTACATTGAATGCTGGAGCAGACCTGGTCCTGGCTCCCCGGCACCTCCCCAACCCGGCTACAAACAGCTCTGTTCAAAGCCAAGTACAACAAAGACCTTGAGAAGCGTATCAGTCCCATCCCAGGCAGAACTGGCTTCTGAGCTGTCTCCCCTCCCCCAGACGTCTGGACTTGGCCCCTAACCTCCGCATTCTCCTTGGCCTCCCGGCCTCCCGAGGCACCCTGAGAAAACCTTCAGGCTTCCTCTTAGCCTGGCCTTCGCTTCTCCTCTTCTCTGTGTTCAGGGCCCCTGGGTGGCCCTTTCCTGGCAGGCAGGGTGACCGAGGGAAGTGATGGCCGAGAGAGCCCTGTGTGGTCCTGGCGCCCAGCTGTTGGGATCTTGGGGCTGCTGTCCTGTCTCCCCACAGCGAGGAAAGCGTCCTTGGCTCAGTAGGCAGGTGGGTGCAGTCTTCAGTAGGGGCTCAGCCCTCTTGCTCCTGCTGCCACCTCCAATCACCCGCCCCATCCCTGTTCTCCCCTGCCTGCTGGGAACACTGAGTCCCTCCTTCTGCCTCCAGCACCACTTCCCTTTCAGCTGGGCTTTCTGTGAGAGACAGGAAACTGGTCCCCAGACAGCCTTGGAACCAGGTTTCCATGGGGGGTGTCAGCCTTGCCCCCACCTCTGGCTTTCTCCCCACAGCTGCTGGAGTACTTGGGCAAGGGCAAGAGCATCGTGGACGTGGGGCTGGCCCAGGCCCGGCGCCCACTCAGCACGCGTAGCCACTACTTTGAGGTGGAGATCGTGGACCCTGGAGAGAAATGCTACATCGCCTTGGGGCTGGCCCGGAAGGTGGGCACTAATGCTGGCTTTCTGCCTGGGGGGGTGCTCAGCTCTGGGGCTTCTGGTCTAGAGCTGGGAGCTCCTAGGGAGGTGAAGGGGCCAGGCTGCAGAGAGGGGTCTTAACCTGAGACAGAAAGGTCGTATGTGTCTGCTGTGTAAGGGTACAGACCCCCAGTCACCTCAGGGCTGAGAGAGGGTTGTGAGCCTACCACACACACACCAGGGCCTAGATGGGGGCTGAGGGCACCCCACAACTCTGGCACCCCAGCACCTTCTCACTCGCTCCCAACCCCCGCGACCTCCAGTGCTTGAAGGTGTGAGGCTGCCGGGGTGGGAGCAGCCATCTGGGTTGTAGCTTGTTCCAGAAGGTGAGGGTTCAGATGCCGCTCTCCCATCTTCTTTTCTGCGTGGTACCACAGCTTTCCTTTTTTCACACTGGCATAGGATTATCCCAAGAACAGGCACCCTGGCTGGAGCAGAGGGTCTGTGGCTTATCATGCAGGTGCGTGAGGGGCTGCGCTGGGGGAGCTGGGGCTGCGGGGATGGGGGTACAGGGACACCCATTTTCCTGACCCCGCACGAGGGGCCTCTCCTCCAGCATCTGACCTGAGAGACTCTCCCCTGCTGCCCCCTGCTGTCCCTTCCCAAGCTGCTAGCGCTTTCTCCTGTTTTTCCTCCCAGCCCTACAAGCCAGGGGAGCAGAACAGGGGTGGGGAAGCTGGGCCCAGGCTGGACATTCCAGGCCTCTGAGTTGGCTCCCTCTGCTCCCTTCCTGCAGATTCTGCATTTTCTTCCTTTGACTGGTTCGATTTCCTTGCGGGCTTTCTTTAGAAAGGACGAGCCTTGAGTTCCTGGTCCCACCTCTCCCTCCCTTCCGAGGCCCCTCTCCGCTCTCTGACTAGCTCCCAAGGGAGTTCCCCCCTCAGCCCTTTGAGGGGACAGATGTGTGTCTCTCTTCTGGTGCCCTCATCGTCTCTCTTCCCTTCCTTGGGGCCAGAGAGGGAAGGAGGGACACTTGGGCTTCCAGTGGGGGCGCGCTCTGGGGGTGTAGGGTATCAGCCCCTCCTGCAGATGCATGTAGTCTCCCCTCCTCCCAACAGACGACGGGAAGATCTTTCATGGCAGCGGCGTGGGGGACCCCTTCGGGCCACGCTGTTACAAAGGGGACATAATGGGCTGTGGAATCATGTTCCCCCGGGACTACATTCTGGACAGTGAGGGTGAGTGGGGGTGACCGTGCCCAACCTGGCTGACTGGGCACTGGGTGGGTCCTGCGGGCAGAACCGCAGGAGCTCAGGTTTCCTGGCCTCTTAGGTGACAGCGACGACAGCTATGACACAGTGATCCTGTCCCCGACTGCCCGAGCTGTGCGGAATGTCCGGAATGTCATGTATCTGCACCAGGAAGGGGAGGAGGAAGAGGAAGAGGAGGAAGAGGAGGATGACGGGGAGGAGATAGAGCAAGAGCACGAGGGCAAGAAGGTGGTGGTGAGTGCGGGGGTCTGGGGCTGGGCTGGGGCTGGGGTCCCTGCGGAGGAGAGGGCGGAACCTGGGGAGGGGGCGCAGGGTTGCTGAGTGGGGAGGCTGGTTGAGAGGCTGGTTTCTGGCCTCTGGACGCCCTCTCGTGGTCACCTCCTGCATCGCCCTCTGTCTCTCCTGCGGTGGTGGGAGTTGGGAGGGATGGGCTTCAGGCCTGTGTAGCCCCAGCATCATGCAGAGCCTGCTGCCTGTCCCACTGTCCTCCTCCACCCCTAGGTTTTCTTCACTCGGAATGGCAAGATCATTGGGAAGAAGGATGCTGTTGTACCTTCTGGGGGCTTCTTCCCCACCATTGGGATGCTGAGCTGTGGGGAAAAAGTCAAAGTGGATCTGCACCCCCTGAGTGGCTAGGCCTTCTCCCCGGACCTGCCCCTCCCCTCTGACCCCTCCCTTTGCAGAACCAGGTACCCAGTTCCTGACTCCCGAGGATCTGCCTACCCAGCAGGCCCCAGGGGGTGTGTCAGCACTCTGCCCCTACCAGATCAGGCCCCTGCCAAGCTCCTCCATGCCCAGTTTCTGGCCCGGGGCTGCCCCAGTCATCAGTCCCTGGGCGAGAGACCCTGGTTGGACAGGAACAGGCTGGAAGGGTGGCGTTGCTCTCTGGCCCCCTCGGTTTTGGCCGTGGGCTCCCGTGTCCCCCTTCTGCACCTGTGAAGGGAGAGGAGTGAGTGCTTCTGTCTCAGCTGCTGTTGGGCCTGAGGCTTGAGAGGGTGGAGCCGGACAGCCCCCCCCCCCCCCGCTTACCAGTGTTCCTGGGGTGCCTCCTCGTCTGTTCCCTGTCCTCGTCCTCGTTGTCGTGTGAACCAGTTGCTGCTGTCACCCCCTGGCTGGGCTGGGGGGCTCTCTAGGGCCCTCGCTCTCCTTCACTGAATGCTCTCCCTAGAAGACTACTCGAGGGCCTCTCTTCTCTCCCCACAGAGCCAGCTCCCTCCCTCACGACCTGCTGGGGCACCACAGGTCCCTGAGAACCCAGCTCCCCCAGCTGTACACATATAGATGGTGCCCACGGCATGTAGAGTGAGACGGGCTGTCAGGTCCGGGAATGGAGCCTTTGCTCCTGTCTCCCTCTGGCCCTCCTCAGCTCACCTGTGGCACCTTTGTCTCTAGTTCCTGAGGATGCAGGTTGAGACCCCAGAGCCTCTCTCTCCCACACGGTGAGGGCAGGACCCCAGAGCCCAGTGAGAGCCCGTGCTCCCCTGCCCCACCCACACCCCGCTTGCTGCCTGTGCCAGTTGCCTGTTTTGCTTCAGTGTTTGATCTAGCACTCACACGTGTCCTCCCCAACCAGGCTCTCCTGTCTCCTGGCCTCTTGACACCGACCCCTCCCCACACAGTGACTTCCAGGAGGGAGAGGAGGCCTCAGTTTGGGGAGAGTGGGCAGGGCTTTAGGGGAAGCAGTGAGCTGTTGTACTGCGGGGGGGCCTCCACTTTGGCCCTCCCTTCAGGCCCTGCACTATGATGTATGAAATTTATGTACAGACCAGAGATGTTTATACAGCCAATAAAGATGGAGTTTCCATATTTATCAGTACAGCCGGGACGGGGGAATCCTTTCCGGTACACAGGGCGGGGACAGGGCTGGAGGAAGGGGGCGGCGAAGGGCACTTGCTCACAAGGCATGTGTGGACTGCTGTGGGGCCAGGGAGAGGGATCGTGTGTGTCCCACAGACATGGCTTGGGCCTGGGGTGCCCCAAGAAGCACAGGTGTGGTCCTGGGAGACCTGAGGCTTTGACCTTCCTGGAAACAGGCATGAGTCCAACTCTGACTAAACATTATAGAAACTCTTTATTATTAGACAAAAATAGACTCTTTTTTTCCCCCCCGTTTTCATGTGATCCTACTCTGATCTCTCTGCTCAGAGGGGAGGCAGAGGAGGGAGTGCCTTGCTCCCCACACCTCTCCTCTCTCCCTGCCGTGCTGGGACCTGCAGCTGGTGGAGCAGGCAAGGCCTGTCTCCCCTGCCAGCGCTGATGCTCTCCTGCAGGTGGGGCTGTCCGGATCACCCCTTCCAGGCTCCACCACCTCACCCTCACACACCCGTCTCTGCCCTCTGCTCACATGCAAGGTCATCTCATGGGCCCATCCACTTCACTTAGCAGGCTGGGGGTGGGGAAGGAGAGCAGTGTCGCAGGCTGGTGTGTCTGCTCCCCATTCCTAGGGGAGAGGCCGGCTCCCGGGTCTCCTGGGTCCAGGCCAGGGGAAGTGAGGGCTGTGTGGTGCTGAGAGGGGCACAGTGTCGACGCGGGCTTGGAGCTTGTGGCCTTCCTTCATTTCCTCTGGCCCAGTAAAACTTTGGTGATGAAGGTGACAATGGCGCCTGCAGGCTGATCTGGGTCAAGCTCTGCAAAGAGGTGACACACATTCTCCCAAGGGCTTCCCGGCTTCTTGGCCACGAAACCAAAGATCCTGGGGGTACAAAGGCAGGGTGGGGAGGGCTGAGCATCCCTTCCTCAGGGACAGCCATGCCAGGGATAGGGAGCAAGGAGGCGCCTGGACACCACACTGATGCCATGCTGGGAGGGGAGACGGCACTCTGGGGGAGGCTTACTTGGAGGTGGTCCCGTCGGAGTTGGTCCATCTGTGGAAGGAGAAGAAATGTGAAGGGATGCACCCAGGGAAGAGCTACCAATGGAGAAGCTGGGTTGGGGGCTGTGGGATGAAAGGGCTGGGAGGGAGGGTCACCTCCGGTCCTGAGGGTCAGTGCTGCAGAAGGTGATGCTGTTCACTGGATAATGGCGGCGAAAGAAAAGCCTGTGAGGACGAGGGTGGGAAAAGTCATCCAGAAACCGGGGTCCCCGGGGTCTGTGCCTGGGGTCCCCCAGGGGCTTATCCAGCACACATACTCACTTCCTTTGGTTGTCTGTGAGTGTGATGCCCTGGGCTGAGACCTTGAAGTGGACAACGGCTGGCGTGGGGCGGGGGCTGCAGCTCAGAGCCGCGGAGCTGGCCCGTGCTACCGCTTGGGGGCCCGTCAGCGACTCCGTCTCCACCGAGGTCAGGTAGAGCACACTGCAGGCTACAGGGTGAGGAGTGGGTTGAAGGGAGCAGGGAGCGGTGGCTCTGCCAACCCCCAGCTCTATCTCCCCTCCGTGTTCCTCCCACCCACCCAGCTCTCGCACTTTCCCCAGCTAGTGCTGCTCAAAGTGCAGCCGTCACACAAGTAACCTGTTAAAAAGACAGACTCGGTGACTCCGCGAGATCTATAGTCGGGGATGCTGGAAAGAGGCCGGAGAATCTGCATTCTAGCAAGACCCCCCCCCCCCAACCCCCCGCAGCCTAGATAGGACTCCCTGTCCCATCGTGCTTATGGATACAGGCCTCCCCTGCTTTCTTGGTTGAGGTGCATCTGTCAGGGCCAGCCCACACACATCAAGGCCTCCCTGTTCCCCATGTCAGGGTTATCCCCTTTGGTGCCCAGGGGAGGGAAGGAGGGAGAGGCCCGTACCGGCGCCTTGACGCAGGAGGTCTGCTGCCGTACTCATGTTGCTGGGCACTGGGGCCTCTGGGACCTCCTCCAGAGGATCTGAGGAAAACGGGGGTCAGCAGGGAGTGGCAGTCCCAGGAGGTGAGGGCGCCCTCTGCCGTCCCAAGGGAAGGCAGGCAGACAGGGAGCCAGGACTAGAGATTCTGCCTTTGGCCCCAGTGGGAGGGGAGAAGGGGGAGGATGGATGACCAGACACCCACCTTTGCTGGGAATGCGCAGGCAGCAGGGCAGGGACAGTGGTGAGATGGAGTGCTGGGAGACCAGGGCTGACAGGCTGCCTGCAGGGGAGAGGCAAGTGGGCTCCCAAGGTGCCCAGAGATACCTCCAGTTCTCCACCTCCCTCCTGACACCTCTTGGACTCCCTGGAAGGCCAAGTGCAGCCTTCCCCACCCCTGCTTCTCACCAAAGTAGGGCTCGCTGGGACAGCCCTTGATCTTCACCCCTTTGGGCCCAGTCTCAATGAGAAAATGGCGGACCAGCTGCTCCGAGGGGTCCCCTGATGGGAGTGGAGAAGAAGATTCCAGGTTCTGCTTCTCTCTGCTGGAATTCTCTACCAAGCAGGAGAGCTCATCTCCTCCTCTTCCATACTACGAAGTGACATGGGCCACCCTGCCTGGTCTTGCCTCTGTGCCTCCCTCACCCCACTCCCCTTACCCCTCAGGTTGGGCCACTCTGTACCTTTCCAGGACTGGGCGCTGGGAGGGGGCGTAGCCACCTTGAGAGCCAGCCCATAGGCTCCTTGGAATGAATGACTGTCCCTGATCAGGAAGGCCCCGGGGTCTTTGTCCTTCAGCAGGGCGATGGCTGGGGGAGGTGGGAGAAGTTTTCACGGCGGCCGACCAAGCCCCAGGTAGCCCCTCCGCTCTGCTGCCCGAGCCCCCCAGACCTCTGGCCCTGACAGCTGTGGTGTCAGCACCCAGGATGCCACTGGGGAGACAGTGCAGTGGGCACCGACCATGTGAGACCTCCTTGGGCCTTAAACCCAGAATCACCTGCTAGAGAGAGGCTCGGCCCAGAGGAGGCCTGCTGACATGGGGAAGTGGCGCGAACCAGAAGCTGAGCCAAAGGCCCGGAGGGGATGGGGGCAGGCTGGCTTCTCACCTTGGTCACGGGACAGGTGTGGCTTGTACCAGAACTTGGACGTGTCCTGGACAAACTTGACATTGCTCTGGCTCTCTTGCATCGGGGGCTCTAGAACAGGGAGGGACTAAGCTTGACCCCAGGGCTCCCCAGTCCCCATGCCATGCCCCTCCCTGGAAACAAGCATTCTCCCAAGGTGGCCCCAGCCTCCTGACGGCCTTTATACCTTGGGGTTGGGGGGCATTATCCGGGAGCAGAGGTGCAAAAGTGACATGGTGACTAGCGCCTCTGGCTGGTGGTGATGCCTGCTCTGGGCCCCAGGGTCCCGGCTGCTGTCCAGGCCCCAGCAGGTGGCGTTTCTCAGGAAGAGGGGGCTGTGGGGGGCCGTTGATGTCATAAGATACAGCCAGAGGAAAGGCAGGTGTGGGCGAGCTCTGAGGGGGTTCTGGGCTGGCCACAAGCCAGGGCATCTGAGTAGGCACAGGGGTGAGGGGGGACCCGTCCGGGCTGTCCGGGGGGTCTCGCAGGCCCTGCCAGGGGGCGTGACGGAGGCCGGGCAGGGTGTTGGGGACAGGCCCCCTCGGACTGGTGCTGTCCGAGCGGCCCCCCGGGCTCCTCTCCTGAGGCCAGTCATTGGGAGAGCTGGGTGGGGAGGCTGGGGAGAAGGCGCCAGGGGCTGGAAGCTCAGGTCCACTTCTTGCAGGCAGCTCTGGAGCCTTTTCAGCGCCTCCCTGGGAAACAGGCGGCAAGGCCTCTGCAGGACTCAGTCTCTGAGAGGGTGCCAAGGTGGGGGAGCGGGTGTCCTGCCGTCGGGCGCTGCAGGGAGGGAAGGCGGGTGGGAGTTTAGTTGGGTTGCAGAGCCCTGTGTGAGCCGCCTCCCAACCCAGGCTTCAGTGTCTGCCCAGACAAGGAGGCCCCTGAGCGGCCCAGCCCCACGAAGCACCTCTCCTTGCCCTGGACGGGGCTGCTGGTGTGCAGCGGCGTGGATGGACCAGACAGCTCGGAGGTGGCACTGCCCTGGGCATCTCGTGGGGACCGGGGCAGGGTGCTGTGCCCGCTGGGACCCTCCCTCCAGGACACGGGCTCTGGCGACTCTGCAGGGAGAGAAGGGGCTGTGGGCCAGGAAGAGCCCCTTCTGCCTGGCTTAGCTTTTCCTCACTCTGTGCTTTTCCCACCATTTCCCAGACCCCTCTTCTGCCCTGGGCACCCCCCTTCCCAGGGCCTCACCTGCAGATGCCAAGGGTCCTGCTGGGGCCAGGTGCCCAGGCAGCGGATACCGGTCCCCTCCCTCCTCTGCAGGGATCTCGTAGCTCAGCTTCCTGGACTGGGGGTAGGGCGGGCTGCCCGGGGAGATGGAGCCAGCCCGGGGGGAGTGGGCACGAGGGCTGGGATACCCTCTGCCCTCGCCTGGAGACCCACAGCTGTGAGGCACCCGGCCGTATGCTGGGCAGTAACTGGGAACCGCTCCTCCATAGCTGTATGTCACCAGGGCAGGGTACCCTGGGTGCCCATACCTGCCTTCAGGGCACATGGCGTAGGAGCAGCCCTCCTGCCCTTCCTCGCCTGCCTTGGGTGGCTTCAGACAGCTGTAGTCAGGCAGCGGGGCGTGGTGGTGCCCGCAGGCAGGCACCAACAGGGGCAGAGGGTGCCCGGGTCGCACCGGGTGCAGGAGGGGCTTGCCAGCCTCACTCGCCCACCCCTCTCCAGCCTCCCTCTCCAGTCGCAGTCCATAGAGGGCTGCCGTGGGCAGTGCTAGCTTCTCCTCACAGGCGGGGCAGGAGCACAGCGCAGGCAGCCCGGGGTCTTCCAGGATCACTACCTCCCGGTAGCCTGGGGGGCGGTAGCCAAAGTCTCCATTGGCGGGTTTCCCCAGCTCAGGCGGGTAGGGGTACGGCCCCTCGGACAGCGAGCGGCAGAGGCGCCTCTTCTCCACGGAGGGCTCGGCGTAGCCCTGGGGGGGCCCCTC